CCATATTACCCTCCTTATCTTCCTTAAATCCTTTCACTCTCCGCCCTTTTATTATTGATCTCTGAAAATCGGTCCACACAACGTCGAGGATCTCTTCTCTCGAGGTAGTCGGGGTCTCGTAGCAGGAGATAATCGATTATACGCGTATACCATCCTTGCGGTCTTGCCTGATTATCGTTCCGTCGCAAAATGAGATGGATTTTCGAGTAGAGAACCATAAGGATCAGAAGAAGGAGGACGAACATGCGGCTACCGTGACTCGAGTACAGCGTCACCACCCCTGCCAGCCACCACAGAGTAGGACAGCCGCCTGGCGCCGAACTGATGCCTCTCTGTATCGCCGCGGGGTGTTCCCCTAGAAAATCATCGGATATATATTTGCATCTAATAAAACTACCGTGACAAAGAAAATCAGTGCTGCAAAAAGAAAACTTCCGGCATTCACGCCGCGGATTATTATTAGTTATTTATCAAGTTCCTTCCGCGAAAGTCCGTTCGAGCGTGTGGGGAAAAAAAAAGTATAATTCCGCGAACACGGTGGATTATGCCCGGTAACAAAAGTTTACCGGGGAAAGAGAAAAGCTCGAAAGCTGTCCCGTGTTTTAATTTTAATTTTCACAAACTTTTTCTTCTCTCGCAAAACGATAAACTGTTCACCACTCACCGTTCAGCACATGCAGCTGCACGCTCGCGCTATCCAAGTTACTCGGGCTGCAAGTATAATTACCCGAGTCCTCCCGTCTCGCGTTGTGAATCACAAGGCTGCTCACCGTATCCTGCTCGATCCTCTTCGTCTGAATGTCGATCTTGCCCAGCTGATAATTTAGAACGCGGTCACCCTCGTGGTACCAGAAGACGTAGAACGGGCCCTCGAGGGACTGCTTTATCACGCATCGTATCGCGACTGTACTTCCGGTCTTCACGTACATGTCACGGTCCCCCAAGATCTCGATCTTTGGCACTGCAACACACGTCGGACATTTTGACATTGCCGCATTTACCAACTACGTTGTCAGCGGAATAATCGGCTTAATATGTGCAATCGCCCGCCGCGACTCTCACCGACGATGTTGAGCTTGATGATGTGACTCTTCTTCGGGTCTGTCGAGATTTGGCACTCGTACTCGCCTTCGTCGCGCGCCTGGACGTATTTCACCTGCAGCGTCCACGTGTCCGCCTCCCCGAAAATCGCCTGGAACCTTTCGTCCGGGATGAACATGGTTCTATCCACCGAGAGGATATGCGAGTCCCTTCTTCTGATCCAAGAGACCTTCGAATTTAGCCAAAATGAGTTGTTTCCGCTCATCTTAAACGACATCGTTAAACTCTCTTCGTGCGTAAGATCGTTTTATAATTACCGATGACAGTCATCGGTCTTAAATTTTATTAATTTGCATAAAGCTTCGCCGTTCTAATTCTCCCTCTCTAATTCTCCTCGCGGAAAAATTCAGAGGCAAAATTCTAAGAATTCTTTTCGAAGTATATCTCTGAGAGATACCTATTCTCTGATCTCGCCATTTACCGTTCCTTGTAATCGTATTAGCTCGATGTCAGAATCATCGCGGGGATTACCGCGAGCTATTATTCGCGACTGAGCGGACATCGAAAGAGACAGAGAGAAAGACAGATAAAGTTGGAGAAGCGCAAAAAAGGGAAGTTCGCCGACGTAAAAAGGACAGGAGAGCGAGGCACGGCGAAAAGAAAAACACAATGAAAGAAAAAAAAAGAAATAAAAAAAAAAGAAAAAGAAAGATATATTCGGCTCGTTCCGATTCTGGACGATCAATCTCCCCGTCGCGCAGTTAATTTTCGTCGTTCATCGACCGGACGGCTCGCGCGCGCTCGACGGAAATCTAGATGGGTGCCACGACCACGGCTGGCCGGTCCGAGTTACGTCGAAAGAAGGTGAAGTACGAATACATTTAATTCGTCGGCCGAGATAAGGATCGAGACGGCGATGGCGGCGGCGGCGGCGGGCCGCTCAAATACGCGCCGGGATTGTACGCGCGAGTTGCGTGTTACCGGATACTTAGTCCTCGACCGCGTGCCAACGGCGACAGACGTATACCCCGTAATATCCCAAGCCGGGGATAGAACGAGTACGCCTGCGTACACGTCGCGGAGAAATTTTGTTAACGAGAGAGACGGGGGGCCCGCAGGCTTTGAGCGGCCTGCGTGCCGACGGTAATTTTATTACGCGCCCGCCGACGAGCCCCGCGAAAACCGCCCCCTCGCTGCACGCCGGTTTCCGATTACTGATTCCATGGCGCGACGGCGAGGCCGGGAATAAAACGGGAATCATTAGCAGATTGGCGTTTTATTAGCGTTTTATTAGCGAGGTTAATTGACCCGATGGAAAGAGAACTACGATCGTACGAGGGACGATTTAACAGCGCGTGACACGTGGACGGGCGTTATCTGTCGCGGGCGGTTATCTGACACGGGACAAAATGGTGGACGACTGTCCCGATAACGATTGAAATACATACATTACGATGTTTTATTGTCTACAAACTTTTGACAGAAATGATTGCGTTCAAGGTCCATCTGGATGTCAGCGGGAAAAATGATTGATAACGGAAATAACTTCGCACTTTGTGTACCGATCATTCTCCGGCAGTTTAATAACGAAATAACGGAATAACATGTTTGCGTGCAAATAAATTTAACTTGTTCATGTATGGTCAACAAAAACGATAGTCCGAGGAGATTGAAAAACAGGACAGTTGTTTCTCGGATTTCGACTTGGTTATAACAGTTTTATCCTTGTTTTTTTAGCGTCGTCGTTATCTCGAATGGAGTCCCATTGTCAGAACTGTCAGCCAGGAATTTGGCCATTACCCATTGGTATCCGGCAAATAAACTTGTTAATAAATCAACCTGTCAATATATGTGACATAATGTAAAGGCAACACGCTTCTATCAAAGATGCGGGAGACGGTATGACAAAGACAAATTAGATCTCAAATCGACGGCGCGATGACAGTATTGTATTGATATGTATGGAATTACAATACGTAAGATAATTCGAAAATGAATAATAATAATATGAAACACACGTAGGGCGTATATAAAAATTGCTGTAAGCGTCTCTTGAATTGCGAAAGATTAACTTTTCTTTCCGTATTTCATTCCCTTCGGGAAGAGAATGTTCTCCCCCCGTTTCCGGCGCTCAGAGCCTTTTTTATGCCGAGAACTCAATTAGATGGCAAGACAACTTACTGATTTGTTACCAAGCTGCCGCACTTTGCACGGTAGGTAAGCATGAGTGCCCAACTGCGCCGTGATATTCGTTGGGGTGTTCGAGTCGAAGTAAGGCCCCGTGTAAATCCCGTCGAATCTCTTCACCAACGAATGAGATCTCGTGCTCACCCCTGAAAGAACGTGTTTGGGGAAAAAGTGTCTCTCGCGTGTACGACAACGGGATTCGCCGTACGTGCAATCACGTGGGGATGAAACGGCGCAATGCGGCGAATATGACACAGGGATGCATATTCCTTCGCCCCCTTTCGACATTGCAAATGCGTGAAATGCGCGAATTATCCGGAATGCATTCTCAAAAATATCCGTGTACACGGGCTGCGTTATGCGGCGAATTAACATGGAAGTAGCGACGTTAGCCATTGCAATGGAATAATAAAGCGATCTCAAGAGAAGGGACTATTTCGCATTCGTGTGTCGTATCCGCTCGCTCGTGCGCGCGCACGCATGCAACGCTTCGGAATAAATCCTATCGCGGAGGAGACCCGTGCCGAGGCACGGGTTCTCCCGAGGGAAATGGAGACTAATCCCGGGGATTCCGATCCGAGGAATCTAAAGGCGGATCAGCATTCAGCGGGAGAGAAGGAGAGAGAAAGAGAGAGAGAGAGAGAGAGAGAGAGAGAGAGAGAGAGAGAGAGAGAGAGAGAGAGAGAGAGAGAGAGAGAGAGAGAGAGGAGGAGGAGGAGGAGGAGAGGAGGAGGAGAGGAGGAGG